GGGCCCTTTGTTTCGGTAAGTCTGGCCCCCCCCCCCCCGCCAACAGTGTTGGAAATTGACCAAATGCGGAATGCAAATTGCGCATTGTTTTGCACACCACATTATTTATGGTGTAGTGACGTCATGTTTTTATGCTGTCTTGCCGAGTGCTCCATGTTGGTAGGACTCCATGTTGTTCTCTTACAATAAAACGTTGAACTAACCTTGATGGTTGCAAATTGCTTGTTTGATTATCTTCCTAGTGAAGTACCTTTGCAAATTAATATTTTCAACAAACAGTTCACCTTCGTAACATCTTGGTAATATCGTGGTTCAATTGAATTTAGTTTTGATGCAATTAAGAGCAATCGTTAGTTTTCTATGATGAAGTTTTGCCGTAGTTATATTACGAAAATATTTGAATGTTTTAACGTTAGAATAGTCTCTGGATACTCTTTTTTTTCTACATAGACACTTAATTCTCTACAGGCATCTTCATTTATATTGATTTATAAAAGATAAATGGGCCCAAGGGCACATGCCTAAAATAGCTGCTGGAAGATAACAAATGAATTTATTTCCAAATACCTGCTTATGCGCCTTGAAAATCTAACACGCCAGCCCTTTCAATTTTTCTTTTATTGCTCTGTAAACGCAAATCTTTTTCTCACATACAAAATCCCAGAATAACATGAATAAATAAATCAGTTTCCTGAATGAGTCAACTTGAAGAGATCAAAGTATTTAAAGTGGTGGAAATATACACAAGAACAGCCGTTCAGCGATTCAGTCGGGAATATTCAAAATAGCATGCATAAATAAATCAGTTTCCTTAATGAGAGCACAATGAGACCAACAGTCAACTTGAAGAGATCAAAGTATTTAATGATTGTTGAAACATACACAAGAACCGTTCAACGATTCATTCAGGGAACATGTAAACCGGCATGCATAAAAATGATTTGTATAAAAATTGTCTGCCATCTTTAACATCAACATGACCTCTGACCCGAATGCGGGGCATTCAATAAATAAACATTTGTACAATTATTGTTTCCTTTAAGCTCTTAATAATATGAATCACACACAACATACACTTTTGCTCCAATCTCTTTTTTTTCCACCTCTATCCCGCACGCACACACGTACACACGCTCACATGCACACACGCTCACACGCTCACACGCACACACTTACAACCACACTGTTTACTTCACAAAAATATGTAATGATATGATGCACAAAAACTAGTATTTACCGCTATGCAAAGTTATATACTTAATTCAAAGCTGCTATCTTCCTATTTAATGTTCTGTGTCACGCTGAATGAGAAGAAATGCGCGCCTAAAAGTGATGGAAAACGCATAGAATCTTATTTAAGAATACACCTTCAGGAAGCGACACCCGGAGTTGTCGACCGTTCGTTAATTTACCGACTGGTCTGTTAAAGGTAGACCTGAAATGACTTATAAGTTAGAGTCCATGAAAAACTTTGGGATGTCCATTAAAACTTGAAAGGTTGAAAGAAAAAAAAAATCTTTGGAATAGAAATAAATGAGAGACGTTTTGGGAATTCTCTTTGCTAGTTTTGACTTGTATGATTATAATCAGGATAATCTCAACACTGATGCGAAACCTTGCAGGTGGGCCAACGTTTTGAATTTAAAATAAAATAATCTAATGCCTCATGGTTTTGCGGCAGGGGGGTCGTCGCGACACAGTCAGGAGACATTGCGACACAGTCGGGAGACATTGCGACACATCGGGAGACATTGCCGCAACAAACCGAGTCCTGGCGACAGTCTCACTGATGTCCAGACATTATGCTTTCAACAAGGTTATTTTAAAACATGGACATAAAAACATTTTCTTTATCCGTAACATTGGTGGAGATGTTAAAAATTTGTCGGTAAATTTTATTCATTCAAGTTGGTGGCAAAATAAGTGGCTATAAATTTGTTTAAAAACTTGATATAAATTGCTTTATATATTTTTTTTATACATCTAACATTGGTTTTTTATATCGCTCAAAAATGTTTGTGTCATGATATGAATATACTTTCAAAAGAAGGAGAAATGTTCAGTCTACGTTTTATGTCGCACGTCATCATTCATTGTATTGTTGTTAAATATCCATTCACAAATATATCACACATTTGAAACTAATCATTTTTTTTTTTTAAATTGGGGCTTAAGAGTCGGTGAACGTTTTCCTGTGCTGACTTTGACATTAGGTACTGACCCAGATTAGGATCTTTGTTCTTCAACATATTACTCTGAAGGTAACACGACATAAACATTCCACACAACGCTTATTCATCATATTACTCTGAAGGTAACACGACATAAACATTCCACACAACGCTTATTCATCATATTACTCTGAAGGTAACACGACATAAACATTCCACACAACGCTTATTCATCATATTACTCTGAAGGTAACAAGACATAAATATTCCACACAACGCTTATTCATCATATTACTCTGAAGGTAACACGACATAAACATTCCACACAACGCTTATTCATCATATTACTCTGAAGGTAACACGACATAAACATTCCACACAACGCTTATTCTTTGAGATTCGGAAGAGGCTTTTCCCCTCGATGCTTTGACACAACGATACTACAACACAACGATACTACAACACAACGATACTACAACACAACGATACTACAACACAACGATACTACAACACAACGATACTACAACACAACGATACTACAACACAACGATACTACAACACAACGATAATACAACACAACGATACTACAACACAACGATACTACAACACAACGATACTACAACACAACGATACTACAACACTTTTCTATAAATTTCGATACTTCGGTATCGACTTCTAACAGCTCTTCTTAAAATTCTAAAATCTCAGTAAAACTCTGCCATTCACACATCAGGCTGCCTCCATTTAAACTTGGAATGTATGGATCAGCTCTTTACAATAAAACGAAAAATTAAAAGTATATCACAGACTGATGGGCATAGTTAAATTTAAAAGAACAAAAAAAAAATGTTAATTTGGTTTCAACTGAGACGAGCTCTGCCTGCAACATTCAAATAACCAAGTCACGTGATGACAAAAGAAATGGAAAACAATGTTGTTACAATTATTATAGCCGCTGTCATGGAGATGAAGTTTCGTAACGCAATTATTTATTTTATTCTGCCTGACAGTGTGTCCGAAGCTCCTGTAATATTTTAAAACCATATCTGTATTAAAATAGAATGCGCCCGTTAAAAATATTAAAGTCTTTTGAATAAATTTGGTAATACTAGACATGAATTAAATTCTTGAAATACGCTTCATGACACCGGCAATAGAGATCAATATTTTACCTTATCAATCGCCTACACAAATGTATGCCAACAGCTACAATCCATCCCGCACACAGACTTCCTTTTTTTTTTTTCTTATTTTTAGATGTGGGATGTATTTAAAAGAAGCCATGGATCTCGAATTTTAAAAATGTATTTGCTTACAAAATATATTGATATTTTCTAAAAAAATCTATTACCGAGAAAATGCGTTGCTCAGAAAATGTGTTTCCCAGTAAATGCGTTGCTCAGAAAGTGCTTCTTTCCAGAAAATGTGTTATCCAGAAAATGTATTGCCAAGAAAAGTATTGCCCACTTAAACAAAGGCAAAAATTAAGTCTAAGTATCAGAATGAGATTAACCACTATGTGTTCGGGGTTCCTGTTTCCGGTTTAACAAAGCCTTTCCCAACGCACGTCTCACAATCTGTGTCCTTCTTGTCACGGCCGATGATCTTGTACCACACCCACATGAAGATGGGCACCAGCGAGCCGACATGCCCCTGGGGCCCCAGCAAGGCCAGCATCGGCGCGAACAGGCAGAGCGAGAAGATCAGGGAAAACCCGATGGTGCAGAACATGAAGATGCCGAACTGCAGGAAGAACTGGATTTTGGCGCCCATCATGAACGCCGCGGCGCCTAGGGTTGATATGGCGCCAGAGACCACGGAGACTCCCATGCTCTCCAGCATGTCCCTGACCTTGCCCACGCGGTCTAGGCGGGGTGAGTTGTGGTAGCTCTCCGAGAGGTGGACCACGTAGTCGACGGCCAATCCGACAACCAGGGAAAGGTTGATGGACTCTATGACCTGGAAGAGAGAACATTGGGTGTAATACAATGTGTTTATTTGATAGTTCATGATTAGTGGCCGAGATAAGTAAGATATGAAAATGTAGTTAGTCGTTTAGGTTTAGATGAGACAAAAAAATGTGGCGGAATTCTGAAGACAGTTAATCAGTAACCATGGTGTGAACAGAGTTCACCTGTCAAAAATCACATGTCTGTGACCTCAGGTGTTTTCCAGCAAAATTATGGGATCTGTCACTCATTAACTGTTCAAATGGTATACAGAGGTATGTAGCCCATAATACAGTAAATACGTAGCCCATGATACAGTATATAGGTAGCCATAATATAGTAGATAGGTAGCCCATGATACAGTAGATATGTAATCCATGATACCACAGCAGATAATTATCCCATAATAGCAAAGTAGACGATATCCCATGATACTACAAGGTAACCCATGATACCACAGTAGATAGACATCAGATAATACCACAGTAGACAGGTAGCCCATGATATCGATCCACCCCTGGATGACGTGTCCTATATTTTGTTAAGGGCAGTGAACAACGACAACAGAACATACAAATCGGATACGTTTACCGGGCGAATGACTTACTGAAATCTTCCAGCCGAACAGAGGAATGCACCCAGCGATGGTGACAGTGACAAGGGCGATGGTGAGTGTTGCCATGGTGCTGATGATGATGTTGGTGGTGGCCAAGGTCAGGACGACGAAGGCCAGGCACACGCCAATGATGATACCCTGTAGCGCTGACTTGGCCAACGCCTTGAGGGAGTGAACAATATAACAGTTTATTATCGAGGTCATTGCCTTTAGGCTTTAAAGAACAAAAAAAAAAAAGAAGACAATGACAGGTAGCATAAAACTCTGAAAGGATTAAGTCTGTGCTTAACCGGGGAAATGATTAATCAAACTAAATTAGACTAGGGCTTGACCGGGGACAATGATTAATAGGGCTTAACCGGGGACAATGATTAATCAAACTAAATTAGACTAGGGCTTGACCGGGGACAATGATTAATAGGGCTTGACCGGGGACAATGATTAATCAAACTAAATTAGACTAGGGCTTGACCGGGGACAATGATTAATCAAACTAAATTAGACTAGGGCTTGACTGGGGACAATGATTAATCAAACTAAATTAGACTAGGACTTGACCGGATGAAGCTTTTTTTTTACACTGGGAGTGGGTATTTTCAGAAAATACCCGGTGTGTCCAAGTGTTTCTGAACTGCTCATGTTCTATACTATGTGCCGGCCTTGAACAACAGGCATACAGATAGTCCTACACCCTACCTCCCGGCCTGTAAACAATAGGCCTATAGACAGTCCTAGACCTTGCCTTCCGGCCTGTAAACAATAGGCCTATAGACAGTCCTACACCCTACCTTCCGGCCTGTAAACAATAGGCCTATGGATAGTCCTTCTCCCTACTTGCCGGCCTTTAAACAATAGGCCTATAGACAAGGTTAAGCGGGTATTAGATCTAACATATATACATATAAATACAAATATTTTTTTTCCCTGACGTTCGTACGTCCAACTCATACGTTAAGAAGTTCAATGGGAAATTCAATGACAAATAATGGTCTTTTATACACCACATCTGAGACTGCAGTTGATATTTGTAAGACAAAGCCCTATCAGCATGTCAGACAAGCCTTATCAGACTAAGATACTTTATTCCACGAGGATAAAAAGTTATGCACTTTGTTAAAACAAAATATGCATTTTAGAAAAACAAAACTCCCCTTGAAAATAATGTTTAAACATGACGTCGTCTCTCTCCAGAACACTTACTTATGTATTTCGTTTATCCCGTTTCGAGACTCTTCACCATGCTGTCAACGTTCTTCCAGATCATTGAACTTAGAGCATTTTGAATCGTTTTGTTAACATCTATATCGACTAGTCACAGAACACAACACCTACAATAAGGAGACACATGTTTAAACTTACTTCTTGTCTTTTAAATTCATGCCAGGCGTTTTGTCCAGGCGTGAACTGAACTCCACCTTGTATGGACGGGGGTAATTTGCTCACCTGGAACAGGAAACGGTCTTAGTCAACGGATGGCATCGAAATACACAGCAAGTAGTAGTATTAGTTCGCTTAGTTACCGACTCTAAAACTGCCGTGCATTGTTTTCAACCTAGATTTGGTATGGTGTTTAGTTTAAAGGCGAGATAGTAGCATAGTCATTGTGATATAATCAGATTGGACGCTCAACTTTCTTGTACCGTCGTGTAATACCCACACATTTTTTTAGTATGAATTATTCCCCCCCCCCACACACACTTTTTGTTGTTGTTGTTGTTTTTTTTTAATTGTCTTCTTCCACTCGGCTCACACGTTGCGTTCAACCTTGTCACCAATGCGTCACAGCAACAGCCGGTGCTATGCCTTAAGTGAGGTAAACTCCATGGATTTTCTATCACGCATGCGCAAACTATTTTATTAAATTATTTCACATTTTGCCTGGTTGACGTATAGCCATATTAAATTATAGCATGCTTTCCTAGTGTACGAAACAATCGCATCTCAGCGGCTGGATTTGAGAATAACGCCACAGGCCTGACTCCGAGGAAATGCGCATGTCCATAGGCATTAGAACCTAGATTGTAAATTTTATATGTACAAGTTTTTCTAATCCATTTACCCTTGACTTTTCATTCTTGTAAGATTTTTATTTCTATAAAGAGTTGTAAATTATATGTTTAATAAATAGGTTCGTTTCATTCTATTGAAATTGGTTGTAGACCTCTTTTAAACTACATATAAGTGTATGAGAGCTAGAATACCTTCACTCTTCGTTGATTTGAATCCAAAAAAAAAAAACCTAGACCAGTGGTTCTCAACCTTCCTAGTGCCGCGACCCTTTAATGCCGTTTCTCGTGTCGTGGCGACCCCCAGCCACACAATTATTTTCGTCGCTTCTCCAAGGCTGTAAGGATATGTGTTTTCAGGTGGTCTTAGGCGACCCCTTGGAAATGTTGAGAACCGCTGCCCTAGACACTAGAACGGGATAACTCACGCGAGATTTATGATCTAATTTTAAGTAATGGTAAGGGTGCTGGGTGGCCCAGTGGTCTAAACTGAGTAAATCTCAAGTTGGTGTTCTGGGGCTCAATTCCAGCCAAAACCCAGTCAAGCGAAAACATCACCAGCACCCCGGGTGGATGTGACTCATGGCAACTCATCTAAGAGAAGGAAACTCTGAATTGAAACCCGGCGATGGAGTCCAGTAGGCGGATAACATTGGTACAATGAAGCATTCCGACAACTCCTGCGACGCCACTGGTGCCAAGCTGTACCATCAACATGATATTTCTTTGGGTTATCCAGCGGCGTGGAGAGAGGCGATTTGCTGTTGGGAACCAGCTTATAATCATAGAAGTATAAACCTACGTACTCTTCACCATCGTCCCATTGTGACGCACGGATGCCAGGAATGTTTAGTAATAGATGTCATTTCACCACAGCGGTTATAGGAGCTCTCTATTTGGGCTCTCTATTTCGGCTCTCTATTTCGGCTCTCTATTTCGGCTCTCTACTTCAGCTCTCTATTTCGGTTTTTAAATCTTTCCAAGGTCATTTCCTAATATGCCCTCTTACATCATTACCGGAACTAACATGCCAAAACAATGGCGGCAGCCATGCGCGAACTACCCATCTACTAAAGTTACTTGACGAAGTATGCATTCAGGTATTATGCATGTATGAGAATCTAATTATTTTTTGCACACCTTTTGAATATGGCGTTACATGCATGTAACGCTTAGATAATTATTATTTGTGACACGCCTAAACTGTCATAAATATACTACAGAAAAATTGTTTGATAATTGATAATAAAATATGGACAAGTTGAGAATTATGAATCTTATTGGTTAATTCAAAGGTTAGCCCACCTCTTCGTTGATAAATTTCTCCCAGGCGTCATAAATCTCCAGCCCGGCGTTGAAGTCTTTGGTGCCAAAGGCCAGGTTAGTCTTTATCTCTATACCGGCGTACCTGAGTCGCGTGCCATAATATTTACCTGTTAAAAAAAAAAAGTGCGAGTGTGTGGTTGCGGGGGGGGGGGAGGATGGATGAAGGTACACGAAAAGATATTTTTGACCAAGACATAAAATGTAATTTTTTAACAATTAAATAATATGAAATATAGATACTTAACTCACAATTAAACTTTACATGTCAAAACATAAACGATTATAAATATTTATTTTTACTTTCCACGTTAAATGAAAATTAAAACGAATATTGCGTTTATAAACTGAATGTAAAAATTTTGTTCTTTTTTTTTTTTTTTTTTTTTTTTTTTTTTTTTTTTTGTGTGTGGAATAAACTCTAACGTGAAAATAAAATAATACAAACGGTTCCAAGAGTTAAAGTGAGAATAATTACCTGGGTTCGACAAGACGGTAGCAGTATCAAACGTTGCTCTGCTCTCTCCCAGCATTACTGAGTACGTCCCGTACTCTGGTAAAAAGTTGCCTCTGTAGCCATCATTTAACCAGTACGATTTTACGGTCTGTGTATTTAAGTTCACAATTTAAATTTATATTATTAAAAGATGCACACAATATGGTAAACATTTTAAGTTTAAGGCCGGTAATCCGATGATCGAGAAAATTACTTAAAAATGAATAAGCTATTTCCCTTAAAATTTCTCCTTTTTATTATTTTTATTTTACTTTATTTTATTTTATTTTTTTAAAGTATTTTTTTTTTCTAATTTAATATCATGTAAACGCTGGTTTAATGCACTTAAGACGGGCTTAGAAGCCGTGAGTTTACCTCAAAATATCTGTAGAATCGTTCGCCCACCATGGAAGTGTTGTACAGCTGAGTATGTGTCTTGAAGAAGTCGACGTACTTGATCTCAGAGGTCGGCAACGACAAATCTAAATGTGTCGTGTACAGTGTGCTATTGTCACCCTCTTTCTGGAAGTGTAAGACACAGACATAATCAGCTTTACAACAGCAGCAGAAATATCACGCGTTTTGTAGATGAATTTCAATAGTAAAAAACATTATTGGATCACTCTGTTTGTACACGACAAAGCCAAAGAACAAATAAATTGGGCCTTAATTCTCATACCCTCCAAGGAGTTCAGGTCAAATCCATTGAATTGTCTTCTAGAGCTGCAGTGCCCAACGTGGGCAATGTTCAGGGGCGTAGGAAGAGGAGTGGCTGAATGGGGAGGTTGCCCCAGGTGGCTTTTTTTTGTTATGGAGGGGCGTCATTTTCGGCCAACTTTAATTGTTTTTTTTTCGTGGCAGGGAGCGGAAAAATTCTTGGCCCGCCCCGAGCGGCCTTAATCCTAGCTGTGCCAATGGTCTAGTGAGTTTAAGAATCTCCACGCTAAAGTTGGTTTCTTTCTACCCACCACAACCAATTTGGCTTTGTTCCTATATTACTTTATGTGTCTACTACGAAACGCTCCGAGACCCACCTTCATGTAATCATTCATGTGTGCGATGAAACAGTCCAGGTCAACCTCATTGGTGACCGGGTCACGCTTCAAGTGAAGGAGTTCATTCTCAGGCGTGTTTCTAATCCTTTCACACATTTCCTGATAGTAAAACACGCGAAACAAAATGGTGTGATAACCATCAAATGTTGTGTTATAATATCATACACATGTTGTGTTATAATATCATACAGATGTTGTGTTTTAATATAATCGAAATGTTGCGTTATAATATCATACAAATTTTGTGTTTAGATATCATACATATGTTGTGTTATAATATCATACATATGTTGTGCTATAATATCATACAAATTTTGTGTTATAATATCATACATATGTTGTGTTATAATATCATACATATGTTGTGTTATAATATTATACATATGGTGTGTTATAATATCATACACATGCTGTGTTATAATATCAAACAAATGTTGTGCTATAATATTATACAAATGTTGTGTTATAATATTATACAAATGTTGTGTTATAATATCAGACACATGTTGGCAATATATAAACAATCACTTAGCACAGAATTATTTTAAATGTTAATTATCAACATTGTAACGACGCCAGGTAAAAAATCGATACACGATTGATTTGTTGGTTTTAACAACAAATATTACATTGGAACGCAAAAACTGTATTGTAAATATACCAAACTTTACAATAAAATATGTAAGGGTATAAAATATGCACTAAATGCATATAGTATGAGGCAATAATTATATATATACATATCAATTACTTAAGCTAAGGGCTAATAGAATAGTAACAAAAGTCTCTGCTCTGAGACTTACCAATAGAGCTAACTGAGAAGGTTTAGGGTTCAGGTCAAAAGAGTTATCCCACACTGTCGTCCCTTTACATTTGTAATCAGTTTTGTGGCAGTCCTCGATGTCTTGTTCCTTGAGTCCGAACGAAACGACAACCTGAAACAAGAGTCATTGACATCAAGACACGATACGACGACCTGAAACAAGAGTCATTGACATCAAGACACGATACGACGACCTGAAACAAGAGTCATTGACATCAAGACACGATATGACGACCTGAAACAAGAGTCATTGACATGAAGACACGATATGACAACCTGAAACAAGAGTCATTGACATCAAGACACGATATGAAAACCTAAAACAAGAGTCACTGACATCAAGTGAATATATGACAACCTGAAACAAGAGTCACTGACATCAAGACACAATATGACAACCTGAAACAAGAGTCATTGACACCAAGACAATATTACCAGAGAAAATGGATATTTAAGTTGTATCAGGATTTAAGATGCAGTTGTTCATTATGAACTCACAAATGGGTTACTCAGAATTAAGGCATGTTGCTTCCATGATCTATTGGATTTGTTAAGTTGCCCCGGAATTGAAGTGAGTATTTGTTTGAAACCATCGAGGCAATCACACCCTAACCCGTATTTGATCAAGGTTTTACTACCAAACATCATATCAGCCCTTAGATTTTCATAAAAACGAATAGATGGTGTACTTCATGCAGAAGAGCTTAAGAGAATGGATATGTGATGAACTTCATACTGCCGCACGCAGAAGAGCTTAAGAGACATTACCTTAACATTTTTGTCGTCTAAACTCTTTTTGAAAGCTCCGTTGTTGATCTGATCAGCCTCATAATAATTGTTTCCATTCTTGTACAGCTGAGTCTGAAATTTCAAACAAAAATAAGGTTACCATATCCGCAAAACTCGATACTGAGATTGTTTCAATAAACAATCTTCCATCTCATTCCGAGTGAGACTCTACTTTATTGGATTCTTTTAATCATCCCTAGCTGATAACCTCCACTCCAAAATTATTTTAAAAAACTAGGACAAAGGGGAGTGCACTTTTTTTCTTTTTACCCACTCGTATTTTTTGTAGAGAAATTAAACAGCTTTTGACACATAAAACTTAATATTTATTCCAATTTAAAAGGTTTTCTCTTAAAAATATAAGCACATGCGTAGGGATGACCGCAATTTCATGAAAGCTATGTGAAAGTAAGGCAAGGGATTTTTTGGCTGGCTTAGAGGATAAGAAATAGCCTTAGAAAATGAAGCTGATAAGTTCTCAAGCAAAAAAGATATTTCAGGTGTCAATTACAATGATGACAGGATGAGAATATCTTAACAGCACAAATTGTGTCACTCTGTCTCTCTCTCTTTCTCTCTCTCTCTCTCTGTTTATGTTTCTTTATGTGTGGGTGTGTGTGAAAGAGAGAGAGAAAGAGAGAGAGAGTGCGTGGGTCTGTCTTTCTTTCTGTCTAATTTTCACTTACAGGTTTTTCCGATGTGGATATCTTGGAGATGAAGTAGAAAGACGCTCCAATGATGACGACACAGAATCCGATGAATGCCCACTTCCCAAACTTGTGGGTGACGGCCCGGTGGTAAGGTCCCCTGAAGAATCGCACCATCATGTTCGGCCTGTGTCCAGTCTTGCTCTGGTCTTTCTTGGCGCATGGGTAGATGCGACTGTTGCTGCACGCCCGGAAACAAGGCCAAGTCCAGGTCTCCCATTTCTGTCATGTTTTAAAAATGTAAATATAGACATCAACCCTTACTATAACCCTTATCCCAACGTTTACCCTAACCCAAACCCTTACCCTAATACAAACCCTAACTCAAACCCTTACCCTAACCCAAACCCGTACCATAACCCAAACCCTTACCCTAACCCAAACCCTTAACCTAACCCAAACCCTTAACCTAACCCAAACCTTTACCCTAACCCAAACCCTTACCCTAACCCAAACCCTTACCCTAACCAAAACCCTTACCCTAACCCAAACCCTTACCCTAACCCAAACCCTTACCCTAACCCAAACCCTTACCCTTACCCAAACCCTTACCCTAACCCCAACCATTACCCTAACCCAAACCCTTACCCTAACCCAAACCCTTACCCTAACCNATACCCTAACCCAATACCCTAACCCAATACCCTAACCCAATACCCTAACCCAATACCCTAACCCAATACCCTAACCCAATACCCTAACCCAATACCCTAACCCAATACCCTAACCCAATACCCTAACCCAATACCCTAACCCAATACCCTAACCCAATACCCTAACCCAATACCCTAACCCAATACCCTAACCCAATACCCTAACCCAATACCCTAACCCAATACCCTAACCCAATACCCTAACCCAATACCCTAACCCAATACCCTAACCCAATACCCTAACCCAATACCCTAACCCAATACCCTAACCCAATACCCTAACCCAATACCCTAACCCAATACCCTAACCCAATACCCTAACCCAATACCCTAACCCAATACCCTAACCCAATACCCTAACCCAATACCCTAACCCAATACCCTAACCCAATACCCTAACCCAATACCCTAACCCAATACCCTAACCCAATACCCTAACCCAATACCCTAACCCAAATTCTTACCCTTAGCCAAACCCTTACCCTCACCCAAAACCTTACCCTAACCCAAACCCTTACCCAACCCCTAAAGTTTAGTGAAATTGATTAGAAAATTATTATAATCGGCTAAATCAAATTTGTTTTACATCAGACATGATGAATACACAAGAGGCACTATAATAGAAATGTATGCAGTTTACACAATTCAAGTTCGTCAGTCGAAATCAACCATGGCCACGTTAATCATAGGATTTGTGCCAATTTTTGAACTTGGCTGTGAGTGTGCAGATGGCCGATAGGGCCGATTTTGGCTCGAAATGCTCCTGTTCAGTAAGTGCAGGGGATAGATGGGACATCTCCAGGTACAGAGTTAACCGGGGCTCTAGCGACATGTCATTTGTGCTCTGCAGCCAATGTTGTTTTGGCTTCATGTTGTGTGGAGCCTTTGTGTACAGAGCGACGCCACGATGATCGGTCCTTTGCCATTCTTCCAATTTGTCCGTCTCTCTATCGAACGCTTTCAAATTTACTCATGTAATGGTTGACAAGTATCCAGTATATTTTATTGCTCAACTCGATTATTTATTTTAAAGCTCCATAACACGTCTAATATTTGTCCATAAAAGAAAAAGAAAAAAAAGAAAAAAAACACGTTACATTTTGAGACCATAACATTTTTTTTTAAATTGTGTCTTTTACTGAGGTGAACTTTTCAATTTTATTTGAAATTTGAATTTATTTATTTAATATACATACATATGTATATATTTTATATACCGGGTATATATATATATACATTTATTTTTGTGGGGTGAGGGATGAAGGTTTTAGATCACTGCTTTCGGGGATGATGCAGCGGTTGCTTGAAGACAATGACATATTTATCACAATGTTTTATTGACCATGTATGTGTATTTTTTTTTTTTTTTTTTTATTTTTTTTTTTTGGGGGGGGGGGGGGAATCTGAAGAAACGCAAAACTGAAACAAAGTACAAGCATTGGTGACTGGTGCAGCCTCGCATCGGATAGGGCAACAAATGGAATAACGAGTTTGCGCCACTGCAAATCTCTAATTATTTGACGGCAGGGTAGAAGGTGACAAATCCAGAGTCCGCTCTATTGTGTGCTGTTATGTCTAATTTCGGCCGTGGGGAAAAGTAAAGGTTTTTAAAGTAAAATTTAAACCACCTCGAGCTCCCCCCCCCACCCCCCACCCATTCACCACACATCATACAAAAATTTTTGGTTTACACAGCTACCCTCTCCCCATCACCCATGCAATAATGGCTGGTCTACACAAGCTCCCCCTTCCCTTATCCCATACACCAATAGCTGGTCTACACATCATAAAGGTATATACACGGTCTGGCTACACAATGTTACTAAGATTTTTGGCACACCACTTACTATAGAAACTCTGAGGTCATCATTTCCTGCTATATGAAACTTCTTCATCTTTGCTCATACCATCATTTCCTGCTATATGAACCTTCTTCATCTTTGCTCATACCATCATTTCCTGCTATATGAAACTTCTTCATCTTTGCTCATACCATCATTTCCTGCTATATGAACCTTCTTCATCTTTGCTCATACCATCATTTCCTGCTATATGAACCTTCTTCATCTTTGCTCATACCATCATTTCCTGCTATATGAACCTTCTTCATCTTTGCTCATACCATCATTTCCTGCTATATGAACCTTCTTCATCTTTGCTCATACCATCATTTCCTGCTATATGAAACTTCTTCATCTTTGCTCATACCATCATTTCCTGCTATATGAACCTTCTTCATCTTTGCTCATACCATCATTTCCTGCTATATGAACCTTCTTCATCTTTGCTCATACCATCATTTCCTGCTATATGAAACTTCTTCATCTTTGCTCATACCATCATTTCCTGCTATATGAAACTTCTTCATCTTTGCTCATACCATCATTTCCTGCTATATGAACCTTCTTCATCTTTGCTCATACCATCATTTCCTGCTATATGAAACTTCTTCATCTTTGCTCATACCATCATTTCCTGCTATATGAACCTTCTTCATCTTTGCTCATACCATCATTTCCTGCTATATGAACCTTCTTCATCTTTGCTCATACCATCATTTCCTGCTATATGAAACTTCTTCATCTTTGCTCATACTCATAAGAAACTAATCACGTTCCGGCTTGTCCCTAGCATCTAAACTTTGATGACCTTGAAACTTGATCATGGTTCCTGAGAACCCAACTTTTATTGGTAAAAATCAATACTATTCGACCTTGCCCAAGTTTCAGAATATCGATTCGGCTTATTTTTTCTCCCTTCTTCTTCCTAATCAGTTTTATTTTTTTAAGATTAAACGTTTGCCCAGCAAACAACAATCCAAGAAATCAAGATTGCATTGTTATTTCATCCTGGTTGCTCCTCCGTCAATTGATAAGGGAAAAGGAGATGTATTTTTTAATTGTTCAAAGATGGCAAAGAACACTGTTTTTGGGATGTCCACGCTTTTAATACAACATAGAAATTTAAATGAAAAACAAACTAATGATCTAGGTGTAACACGCGCGTCACACACACGTCACACGTCACACGGCACACGCAAGTCACACGCGCGTCAATTGAAATGTTGTACCATTGTAACAGTTCTGAAAAGTGATTTACAACCTAGTCAATAGCTTTTATAATTGACGCGGACTCATGTATATAACGTAAATCTGGGATTTTTTAAAATATTATTTGTACACCGTGGAACAACTTAAAAGTAGGCCTACGTCAGGCAGCTAGTTCTCGGCCTTGAGAGCGACGACCTTCAGGTCCAATCGTCGGCTCTCGCGCCACGCTTTCATTTCGGGTTAGTACCGAATTTGCCTCCCTCTTTACTCTACGCCTTATGAAAGCCCCTTGTCTATCCCGAGGGCGGCACTTGTGTGCCTACGTGGCATTATAGCACTATCTGTCAGTAACTGAGTTCCATCTTTGTTTTAGGATAGGCAACATATTTATTGAGATATCCAAACGAGGCAATGACCTACTTTGTGGTGAAGGATGACGCACGTCGGGAAGAAGATGATGGCGGAGAAGAAGTTGAAGACCACGAGGACGGAAGAGAAGACACCGAACGAGCTGACGGCGAGGAGAGGGGAGAAGGCGTTGGACACGAACGCCACAAACGTGGTCAGTGACGTGATCATCATTGACTTGGAAGCTCTGCGGTAACATGAACTGAAAAAGAACGAAAAAATGTAAACAAAATTTTAAAAAATTAAAATATGTATTGCAGGTGAGTTGGAAGATTGTAAAATCCCAAACGGTAAAGTTATTTTTATGGTAGAGGTCATCAGAAAATTTTGTCATGTCTCTAAGAGGAAAGAAATAATAAATTATTTTTAAAAAAATAATTAGGCCATAGAATATTTAAACGGAATAAATCATCCTAACACTAAGATAACACTAACCCTAAAACTAATACTCACACTAACATTTAACCTAGCCCTAACATTAAACCTAACCCTAACAATAAACCTAACCGTAAAATTAAACCTAACCCTAACATTAAACCTAACCCTAAAATTAAACCTAGCTCTAAAATTAAACCTAACCCTAACATTAAACCTAACCCTAACATTAAACCTAACCCTAACATTAAACCTAACCCTAACATTAAACCTAACCCTAAAATTAAACCTAAACCTAACATTAAACCTAGCCCTAACATTAAACCTAACCCTAAAATTAAACCTAACACTAACATTAAACCTAGCCCTAACATTAAACCTAACCCTAACATTAAACCTAACCCTAAAATTAAAATAACCCTAACATAAAACCTAACCCTAACATTAAACCTAGCCCTTAAATTAAACCTAGCCCTACCATTAAACCTAACCCTAACATTAAACCTAACCCTAACATTAAACCTAACCCTAAAATTAAACCTAAACCTAACATTAAACCTAGCCCTAACATTAAACCTAACCCTAAAATTAAACCTAACACTAACATTAAACCTAGCCCTAACATTAAACCTAACCCTAACATTAAACCTAACCCTAAAATTAAAATAACCCTAACATAAAACCTAACCCTAACATTAAACCTAGCCCTTAAATTAAACCTAGCCCTACCATTAAACCTAACCCTAACATTAAACCTAACCCTAACATTAAACCTAACCCTAAAATTAAACCTAAACCTAACATTAAACCTAGCCCTAACATTAAACCTAACCCTAAAATTAAACCTAACACTAACATTAAACCTAGTCCTAACGTTAAACCTAACCCTAACATTAAACCTAACACTAACATTAAACCTTGCCCTAAAATTAAACCTAACCCTAACATGAAACCTAACCCTAACATTAAACCTAGCCCTGAAACTAAACCTAACCCTAACATTAAATTTTGCCCTGAAATTAAACCTAACCCTAACATTAAACCTAGCCCTGAAATTAAACCTAACTCTCACATTAAACCTAGCCCTCAAATTAAACCTAGCCCTAACATTAAACCTAGCCCTAACATTAAACCTAACCCTAACATTAATCCTAACCTCAACATTAAACCTAGCCCTAACATTAAACATAACCCTAAAATTAAATCTATGCCCTAATAATTACCCTAAACCTAACACTGATTTTCAAATTCAACCGTAAGGTAATATCCACTTATTTAAAGTTTGAAGCCCACTGTTTACAATCCAGTTTCCAACCGAAGCAAAATCCGCTACCAAGAACATGGTAATATGTTTACACTTTTTGTAGTTATAAATATTGGATTCCTTATCGTCACTGTATCTTGTAATAAAGTCTCACACAAGCCATCAAAGCCTAGTATTTCCTAAGTATGTTATTAAGTCTCTTTCTAGCCATCAAAGCCAAGTAGTTCTTAAATATCTTATTAAGTCTCATTCTAGCCATCAAAGCCTAGTAGTTCTTAAATGTCTTATTAAGTCTCATTCTAGCCATCAAAGCCAAGTAGTTCTTAAATATCTTATTAAGTCTCATTCTAGCCATCAAAGCCAAGTAGTTCTTAATCCAATATGTTTATTTTTGTAATGATCGATATGTTGTTAGAAAATGCAAAGTGGGCCCATTTCTCCGACGGCCAATAACATAACAGTTTTCACGGAAGCCCTCGCTGACCTTAACCTCTCCTCCAGGCTGGTGTGTCTCTCGTGGGCGGTTGCACGCCAGGTGTCGTTGAAGACGAAGATGTTGTCAGCACCAATGCCCAGAATGATGAATATAGACAGGACGTGAAAGATGCCGAAATATCTGTCAAGATGTAAGATTAATAAACAATGTTAGGCGTTACAATGAATAAACCATGTTAAGCGATGCAATGAATAAACCATGTTAGGCGATACATTGAATAAACAATGTTAGGCAATACAATGAATAAACCATGTTAGGCGATACAATGAATAAACCATGGTAGGCGATACAATGAATAAACAATGTTAGGCGATGAAATGAATAAACTATGTTAGGCGATACCATGAATAAACAATGTTAGGCGATACAATGAATAAACGATGTTAGGTGATACAATGAATAAACGATGTTAGGTGATACAATGAATAAACGATGTTAACGATACAATTCAAGTCGGTTTGCTAAACCACGTTTCGTCCCCAATAGTTAGATCTAAACCTGCCTATTGCCGAGTGAAGTCGAGTCACTTTTCTGACTTTTAGCTGACTGGGGTGTGAGTTGACCTAATCTAAGAACAAGTTAACGCAACTCTATCCATGAAGATATTTACGTCCTGAAGAAAACAGGAGAGTATATCAGCCGACTTAAAAATACACATAATCCAGGGTGATATTTTAAAGCTAAATTTTCATTTTTAAACCGATCTAATCAACATCGAACACTGTAGCAATATCAGCTAACTTGTTCTACAGCTCGACCTGCCCTTAACTTTGAACTCTGAACCAATGCAATCCTGCCCGTTATCAAACTCTTTCTCTCTGCCGCCAGCTACATTCTAGACCCATTCTATATACCTCCCTGTAATCTGGAACCACGCTATAATTCTACATGTAATCTAAAAATACACTATAAACCTATCTGTAATAAAGCACAACCACTATAAAAATACATGAAATATAGTGTCATTCTTTAGACCTACATGTCATCTAGCACATAACTATTTACCTTCCTGTAATCTGTATTTAGCGACACCCCTTTAAGCCTACCTGTAATCTTTCACCACTCCTATAAACCTACCTGCAATCTAGCACCATCACTATAAACCTACCTGTAATCTAGCACCACCCTGTACACCAGGTTGGTCCCCAAGAAGCTGGTCAGTATGCTGAAGATTGAAAACGAGGTCAAGAACAGCGAACTCGTCTGGAGCAGCATAAAGATGAAAATGAAGAGGAAAGATCCCACGGCGAGGAGGAGATCAAAGATGACTTGCTGGAAGATGTCATGGATCAGTAGCTGCCAGGGGGAAAACGTTTAAGGAATCAGTTTAGATAGAGATAATTCATTGGTTATTTGTTGTAAACTGATCTAAACACAAATATAGTATGAATGATAATGGCCTTGGAGAGAGTGTGTCACACGTTGGAAGGTGCGGGGCTTGCGGGGCTCGATGTGATCATCTACTCCGACTCAAGATCTGCTCTCGAGATCTTGGGGAAGAGAGCAGGTGCCACGCACCTAGTTGACGTCATCATTGATGACGAGTGCAAAATCGGTGAACTACGATGCAAGGTGACAGAAAAATGGATTCCAGGTCACATCAACGTCAGTGGCAATGAGAAAGCGGACACTGGCGAAAACCTGTGCTGCCCAGCCTAAGCCAGGAGTACCAATAACTTATTTGGGAATAAGTAACTGGCTGGCGGACCACTTTAGGACGAAGTGGCACAGTCCATTGGCCAGAGGCGTCTTTTCAAATGTGCCTATACTCTTAGCAAACAAGACCCATGGTTGGGGTTAGGCCGCAGACAGCAGAGTTTAGTGACACAGATGCGCACTGAGCAATTCCCCATAGGCAGATACTTCTGATGGCTGTATAACAACAGGGACCCTACCTGCCGGCATTGCAGCCTGGTCCCGGAGACACTAGCGCATCTGTTGACCGAATGTCGTCCCTCACTAGATGTCCCGGGGGAGGCCAGGGCGGATGGAGTGTCCTACGTGAGGACAATGTTGTATGGCTCAGCTCAGCAGATGGAGCTGGTAGCCAATTTACTAGCCGGGGTCATAAGAGAGTAATATCAGACCAGAATGAATGATCAACATCATGTCCGGCAGGTCACATGTTGGTGACAATTGATGTCAACATTGTTATTAGATATGACATCTGGATCTTTAAAGCGACCCAATGTTACAGCCACATGAGGTCACCTCGATGGCACAAACGACCCGGGGGATCTTCTCTATCTTTCTATATAACACAATTATTATCTTTTTAAATTGAAAATCTGGTATTTTTATTTGTTTACAACTTCTAAGGCCAACTGGCAAGGGGGAATGTACCAACGTTTTTCAAAATCAGAATAAATTTATTTTGGTATTGATTTTTAGCCCCACCATTACACCTCAGCTAAAAGTACTGCTTCAGTTTAAAGCTTGTTTTCCATAGCTTCTACCTGGTTAAGGTCAATAATCCTTTCTTAACCTCCAACCCAAAACGTTTAGCCACACTCTACCACTTTGTAAAGTTTTAAGTAAACTGATGAGTGTGGCTGTCCCAAGGTTAAAATTTTCCTGAATGTCACCCAGTGGTCAGATGACAGAGTAATAAATGCATCTGGTCACCGCAGTGGCAGTACCGCACTCCTACACATGAATTACCTGCCTAGACTGGAAGTTGACGGTCATACCGTCCAGCCCGTCATCCAGCAAAGAGTAGAGAGTGCCACGGAAGTTGTCCACCTGAAAAATAACATACGGGCAACTTTGTGACTGTGTGGCTGTATGTGCATGTCAGTGTGTGACTGTCTGATAAGGTGTGGCTGTCTGACAGTGTTGACTGTCTGACAGTGTTGACTGTCTGATAAGGTATGGCTGTCTGACCAGTGTGTGACTGTGGTGTGGCTGTCTGACAGTGTGTGGCTGTCTGACAGTGTGTGGCTGTCTGACAGTGTGTGGCTGTCTGACAGTGTGTTACTGTCTGACAGTGTGTGGCTGTCTGACAGTGTGTGGCTGTCTGACAGTGTGTGGCTGACTGACTGTGTGTGGCTGTCTGACAGTGTGTGGCTGTCTGACAGTGTGTGAGTGTCTGACGGTGTTTGGCTGTTTGAAAGTAAGTGTGTGGCTGTCTGACAGTGTGTTACTGTCTGACAGTGTGTGGCTGTCTGACAGTGTGTGGCTGTCTGACAGTGTGTGGCTGACTGACAGTGTGTGGCTGTCTGACAGTGTGTGGCTGTCTGACAGTGTGTGACTGTCTGACGGTGTGTGGCTGTTTGAAAGTGTGTGGCTGTCTGACAGTGCAACTGCTTGCTTTGTGTTCGAATGTCAAATTTTAAGAGGTGATGGATGATTCCACGAAGACCAATTCTGGCTGTGAGACTCTTCAAGCAATTCGTTCCCTACGTTAAAATATATGGTAAACTAATGTTAAATGTGTAAATATTTACACTTAAAATATTAAATACACAACAAAAAAGTATCGATTCGCATTCTGTATTTTATTATCAAAGTCTTATTTTTAATTAAAATATATCATAAAGTCTTGTTTTTAAATTTACCATGAAATCTTGTATTATTTCCAGCTGGTCCTTGACCGAATCTGTGGTAAGGTCATAACCTTCCAGAGGCGTGCCAGTAAAGAACAAACTCCTTGACACTGTCGTGACAACCTCTGGGGAAGAAAAAACAACAACAAATTCCATGTACTGAATCAGCTGTAGTGTGTCGTCTGTGTGGCTGTATTTGATTAGGTGGATGCCATGACGTGTGGTTGTAAGTCTGTTGTTTTGTGGTTGATTGCCTTCAGCCTGTTAGAGCGACTGTGTGGCTGTATGTGGCTGCCTGACTGTGTGGCTGTATGTGGCCGCCTGACTGTGTGGCTGCCTGTGTTGCTGCCTGACTGTGGCTGTATGTGCGTGACTGTATGTGGCTGCCTGACTGTAGCTGGGTAACTATGTGGTTGTCTAACTAACTGTGACTGTGTTGGTGGGCGATTGTGTGGCTGTATGTGCGTGACTGCTGCTTGACTGTGTGGCTGCCTGACTGTGTGGCTGTATGTGCATGACCGTATGTGGCTGCATAAGTGTGTGGCTTTATGTGTCTGACTGCGTGGCTGCCTGTCTGTAGCTGGGTGACTATGTGGCTGTATGTGCGTGACTGTATGTGGCTGCCTGTCTGTAGCTGGGTGACTATGTGGTTGTCTAACTAACTGTGACTGTTTGGGTGGCCGACTGTGCGGTTGTATGTGCGTGACTGTATTGGTTGTCTGTGTGGCTGTATATACATGACTGTGTGGATTTCTTGATTGTGTGTGACTGTATGACTGTGTGGCAGTCTGAAAAAGCGTGGCTGTCTGGCTGTCTGATTGTCTATGTGGCTGTCTATGTGTGTGGCTGTCTGATTGAGTGTGTGTGTGGCTGTCTTTGTGTATGATTGTCTGATTGTGTGTGTGGCTGTCTGTGTGTTACTGAGTTTGATTGTGTTGCTTTGGGAGCTAGTTATCCTATATTTTTAAAACTATAAAATTATGATTATTTTAAAGAGGGGTTGAAGATAACAGCAGCAACAGCAAACTGCAAACCTGTTTGTGTTATAGTCGCGTCATTTCCGACCAAAGCCTCCAGTATTGGTTTCAGTTTAGGCTGCTGAGACACAACGTACAAGACTCCTGATATATTAGAGAACGTCATATCCTTCATTGACGGGAGAAGACTGCCATCAAAAAATCTGTACACGAAACAGAACACAAACATTATCATATATTTGTGAAATGTTGGGAAATTAAGCCTTGGTGAGAATGTAGCCACAAAAATGTGTAATAAAATTAAACTTGAAACAGAACTGTGACTGTAATAAAATAATATTTGAAAGATATTAGCAAATGCCCCCTCAAAAACCAAACTTCCCATACATCTTGACTGATGCACTTCATTAAACAATAAATGTTTAAAATGTTTCCCTTGTAGAAATATCAGAGGCGTTACATCGGGTGGGAAAAGGTTTAAGAGCATCAAGTGTGTAATTTATATGTTAGAATGATCAGAACCAGACAACAGCATGGCGCCCGGTAGCCACTGTGGTAGCACTGAGGTAGCCACTGCGCCTGAAAAATATAACTTGCGCCTGATTTTGTATGTTTTTTTATTCTGCTCCGAGGAAAACGCTTGCGTGCTTCTGAGAAAGTGGCTCTGGCACTTGAATTATTTTACATTTTTACTTAACCCAATATGGTTACAAACAAATGAACACCCACCATATATGGTTAAAAACAAATGAACACCCACCATATATGGCTACAAAGAAATGAACACCCATCAGATATGGTTAATCACAAGTAAACATCTATCATATATGGTTACACACCATTGAATTCCCACCATTTAAGGTTACACATAAAAGAAAAACACCCACCATAAATGGTTACACACCAATGAACACCCACCGTAAATGGTTACACGCCAATGAACACCCACCGTATTAGCGAGGAAGGCTTGGAGCAGCCCGCCCCCAGGTTGTTGATATCCTGCTTACAAAACTTTGGCCACTCGGGTTTGTGGGTGAGCTCCGTCTCAAAGTCGTGTATGGCCTGCAGACGGCTCTTGGTCAGGACGTTATCGGCCTGATAGAACACCTGGAGCACGTCGCCGTTCTTGGTCCTAGGTCCGACCACTTCCGCGCTAGTGTTGACCTTTAGTAAAGACCTGCAAAGGAAATGGTGTTGATCGTTTGGAAATGTTACCGGGAATGTGTTGGAAAGAAATTTCCTCGACGGAAAATTGATTGACGGAAAATTGATCGACGGAAAATTGATCGACGGAAATTTGATCGAACGTAAATTTGATCGAACGGAAGTGGTTTGTCTGTCCCAGCGCGTAGCTACTCAACATATAAATCACAGAGAGGAGTGGTCCTGTACTGACCGCTTCTAAATCGATACAGTTTGTGATAAGTCAGGACCGGAGCCTTCCTCCGTAACAACAGCTTCTGTGACATATTGTATATGAAAATGTGATGCTATTGTAAAGTGCTTACAACTCGGGAATATTTTTAGTCCGTGTTTAAAATCCTCGTAGCAGACGCAATCAACTGTTTGGCAAATTTAAAAAAAATCACTATTTTATTTTATGTGTTTGTTTCTTAGATAATTTTTAGTTCTTTGAACATTTAGCTACTTTTTTTTAAATTTTGTTATCCATGTTTGGCTTCCTGTAAAGGGAGAGGAAAAAAAAAGCAGTCCCGTTCTCATATCTCAATCTTATCCCAGCAGCGCCATCTACCAGATAATACTTAGAGTCGGACAACTCATGGTAAAATATTTGACACGAGCCTGCTAAGCAGAGCCAGCAAGGCAGAGCCAGCAAAGGAGAGCCAGCAAGGCAGAGCCAACAAAGCAGAGCCAGCAAAGGGCATTTAAAAAAAAACAACTAAAACACTCAATCTTGTTCAGTTGATCTCTTCAGTGTAGGAAGTGCAGAGGTTAAATGACGACAGATGCAAATGGTCGCCGTGGCAGACGTAGAATCGATACAACTAATGACGTCAGTCTGGAATTGTAAGAGCAGTTGTTGTTTTTCTTTATTTTGGATCACATAAAACGATGAGCACCGCGTTTTTATGATTGCTCCCCTCTTACATCTGATTGTGTTTGTTACTGTCCCTTTTAACGTCAAGTTCTATTGATTAGGCGAATGGGACATAATAGAGATAGAGAGGGAGAGAGGGAGAGAGAGAGGGGGGGAGACACAGAGAGGCTGCGATCAAGTTGTAGATAAGGAAGTGAAAACATTTCTATTTGGTGTCACTCCTCTGTCATTTGGCATCCTGCCCTGCGTAGCCCCTCTCTTTTTTTAAAATTTCTGCTACTATCGTGGGATTCTGGTATAGACTGTACAGTGTACAGTACCTGGTTGGTTCGTATTCACTTCCATATTCACCCTTTGTTGGTCCATATATTTTCCGGAGCACTTTTCTCTCCCATGTGTTTGATAGGTTTTTAGTCCTTTTTATTAGGGTTCACGTTTCACTTGCGTATGTCGCAGTTGGCCTGATTACAGTTTCATTGTTTTTCGTGTCATGTTTTACTTTTCAATATTTTCTGACTACTGAAGAATGCCCTGTTTCTGGCTGAGATTCTTTCCTTCAATCTATATAACTTGTACATTAATTTTGCAGGGATGAATTCCATTTTTATTACTTATAAATAAATATAGAGATATCTGAATGAATGTCAATTCAATATATGCGCTCTAAAAGTTTCAAATTAGTTGAGGCATGTACAGCCAGTAATCTCATAGTCAAAGACTTTGTGCAAGAATAGACTTCACCACCCCCCCCCCCCCCATGAACCATGCTTTTTGTCACACGCTGCCTGGTAATGCAGTGACGTCTTGCCCCGTCTCCTTTTATGAATCCAGCCCTGATCGATCCAGAGCTTTGTGAAACACGTCACTTTAATGATCATGAAATTGTACATTCCAGGAATATTCGACCAACTTAATCAATTCGACCTCCACGTACACAAAGATATGCGCTTTTAATTTTTATAGGTGGTCCACTATGCGTTACATTAGAATTAAAAAAAACAAAAAAAACAAGAAAAACAATCATATCGAATAGCTGAGAAGCCCGTTTGCAGACATAAATGAGACATTGTCGTGTACGGAAGATGTCTAACGTTAGACATCAGGGTGACACGACATCATCGCGAGAATGTTTGAATTCTTGAGGGCATTGTCTTGTCAACATTTCCAATCAAGCGACTGAACTCGGCCAACAACAACTGGTTCAACAGAGTACAACAAAACTCTGACATTCCGCTCTTTGCTAAACAAAAAAAACTTCGAGAATATTTATACAACAGTGTCAACTCCGTGCCTTTAAAAAAATTAAATTAAATTAAGTTATTATATCTGATTTGTCATTGTAAATATAAACTTTCTAAATTTCTTTATGTCATCGTATATATATATATATATATATATATATATATATATATATATATATATTATATAAAACAAAGAAATGTATAACATTAATTCGCCTCTGAGTGAAGTTACTAGCATAAATGTCGCTGGACATACAATATGATTAATTTTTTTTTAAATTGCAATATAATTAACTGCGTTGAAATCGCTGCCTTAAAAATGTGAAATCAAACATTTTTAAATTATTATTATTTAAATCCCAATGTTTACAAAATATTCTTCAAACTTATGCGCCAACTTATTCATAACCATTGTACTTGAATGGATATTGAGCAGAAATAAGTATAAGAAATAAATACTGCGCCATGTTGACCCGTTAATATTCCAATCGGACACGGACCATTGTTATATGAGTATATTTCATCGGTTACCGGAAATTTAGTTGAAAGAAATTTCGTCGACGGAAAAATTAATCGACGGAAATTTGATGGAACAGAAATTTGGCCGAATCATTTTTTCAGTTCACACGGTAAATTTTTTTCAAATTTCTTTTTCAAAGCACTATATTATATATTAAAACAAAAAAATGAATTCAAAAAAGAAATTTGACTCAAAATTTTAACGTGTGAACTTAAAAAAGATTCGACCAACTTTCCGTTCGATCAAATTTCCGTGAGCAATTTTCCGTCGAAGAAATTTCTTTCAATCAAATCTCCGGATACGTATTTCATCACCACCGTTTCACTGATTGAGAACCTCTGTGTTAACCAATTGCTAAAGAAAATAATCGTGTAAGGCCAAACAACGTGATAAGCTGATGCAATGCGGTCTTTGATAAGAGGTCACTGTTATCCGAAATATTGGACACACACCCTAAAAGAGCACATAGTTCAAATATTTCCATGGGTTATTATATCTTGAACGCCACTTGGGAAACAAACCAATTGTAGGAAGTTTAGGAACGTAATATTCATGTGTTAAAAAAGGTACATAGAATGATGAGAAAATATCTCAATCTTTCACCAATATCTTTTTATTTTTTATTTTCATTTTTTTTCTCAAAAATTTCAAGTCCTACAAATAATAACAACTCTAATTTTCCCGAGCTGCTGTGGCTTAGTTTTGACAGACTGCGTCGTTCACCGCTGTCACTGCTGCGCGAATTTGGACTCGCTAAACGTGTATGAATATCATCATCACTCACAAATGACTGCATCACCGAAGTTAGCTTGCTAGAAGAGAAATCTGAGTGCACATGTACTAGCTTATCGCCAGAAGGTGTATAGAGGTGTATGAGTTTTCATGCTAAAAATCCATACGCTTGATCCCCCTACCACCCCCCTCCTCTTTTCCTTTTTATTCCTCACCCCGCCACTAGACCAGGAACCTTTTTGGAAGGCAGTCGTCGTGTATCACGTGACACACATTCATTTTAACAGTTTCCACGCTGGAATGCTTAGAAATGTTTCAACACAAACAAATGAGGCGTAACTCGGTTAAAATTGATTTCGGTAGTCCAGCTATTTAAGATATACGGTTAGAACATTCTATAAGATGGCACGATTAGAGTTATAATCACTTTTCGTTAGAGATTATTAATATTTATAGTGAGCATAATAGACATTTAGAGATTAGACCCTAAATCCATACATTTTTATTTTATTTTTTTTTAAATTAGTGGTGGTTTTATATAGCGCGGTACCCCAGCCTAGAGCTGGGCTCACCACGCTGTACATACATTTAATAAACATAATCATGAACTTAAAAATTTAATAAACATTAATTAGTCTAAATACCCCCCCCTCCCCAACCCTCCGAAAAAAAGGTATATTCATTCTACACGTTCGAGAACTTTTTACATGTCAAGCCATGGACGGCTACCCAGCAGCATTGTTTATCGATCATTGTGGGGTGGGGTGGGGGGAATCAGTCAGGATAGTAGAGTTTAAAGAGATGTGTTTGGGGTGCAGTTTTGAAGGCTGTGATGTTCGGTATATTGCGGATGTGTAGTGAAACAGAATTCCATTGTTTGGGGGGCACAGTAAGAGAACGATCGTTCACCGTATGTTTTTGTGCGAGTCTTGGGGACAGAACGAATACGCGCGCCTGCGGAGGAACGAAGCTGTCGAAGGGGTGAATAGACAGAGAGAATAGCGGTGTATGCAGAGCGACAAATGTGAGGGATGTGATTATGGAGAGACATGTTGTTAGACAGAATATAACCAAGATTCCTAGCAGAGGGTGTAAACTGTATGTCGGAGTGACCTACATGAAATAAAGAGGGGAGAGCTGAGTTAGGGGATGATTTGTGATCGTTAATAAGGAGTGCTTCCGTTTTGTCATCGTTAAGCTTTCAACTTGCTGAGTGTCATCCATGGCTTGACATCACCAATGCTCTCACGCACCGTCCGGACAACGGAATCGACAAGAGAGGAATGGTTATGCCTGTATAGCTGCGTGTCATCCGCGAATGACTGGCTCTCCACAGCATGTCTCCCGAGCAAAAGGAGCAGTGGCCTCGTATACATTGTGAATAGAACCGGACTCAAAACGGATCCCTGTGGCACTCCGTACACTAAGTTAGCACTGCCGGAGAGACAGCCATCGATAGCGACTGCCTGCGTTCTATCGGAGAGATAGGACCTAAACCAAGCCAAAACTGATCCCGAAATTCCAAATTAATTTTCAAGGGTTTTGTAAAAGGCTTCTAGGTCAACAGTGTCAAAGAACGCACTGAGGTCTAAGAGGATCAGGATGGAGATATCACCGCTGTCCAATAAGAGCAAGAGGTCATTGGCGACTCTCAAGAGAGCTGTCTCAGTGCTATGGAAAGGTCTATAGGCCGACTCATTAGGACTGAGAAGAGAGTGGTCGTTTAAGTAAGCAAAAACTTGTCTTAGAACTAGTTTTTCAAAGAATTTAAATAAGAATGATGAGTTAGATAGATACAGATCAATAGTTTTTTTTAATTATTTTCATCCAGACCAGGCATATACAGTATTGTATTTGATGTGTAAGTGCACTGGAACACGACATTGACCTATTTTTATTTTACCAAAATACAGCGGCGTAGAGAGGGTGTTTGGCACCCGGGGACAAGATTCGCGCCCGGGGACAAGATCCATTTTTAGCGCCCCTTCTCTTTTTTTTTAACTCTCAAACCCATTATTTTCAGCAATAAAATAATATCAAAGCCCCTAACTAACTGGCGCCCGGGGACATCTGTCCCCCCTGCACCCCCCCTCGCTACGCCTCTGCCAAAATATAATTTAGAGGACTGATGCATGCACTGAAAGAACAGCGAAAGGGAATTAAAACCAATGTTCCCATATTTCCCGTGAGAATGGGGACTATATTCAAAACAATGTGACGACGTCATTCGATGTCTCTGTCAATCCCCTTATGCGTTTGTTATCGTGTCAAAAATAACATCTTAGACTATAGTAATCAAGTACTTTTTTCAACAACAATTTAAAAAAAAATATTTTAACCGTAAAATCTATTAGTCGGTACTTACTCGTCTTCATCTCTGTAATTCCAAGCTAGTTCCCTTAGAAAGGTTGGGTCTTTGTTCATATTGAGAGGAACCTGCGCCATAAAGAAATAGTGCACATTGTGTTTGTGCAATAAAGAAATAGTGCACATATGCACACACGCATTCATTCACACACACACACACATATTCTCATGTTCATCCGCCTTGTTATCTATTATAATTTTTTTTTTGTCACGTTAACATTTATATATTTATATATTGCTATTGCAAATCAAACTTAAAGTGTAAAAAATTTAAAAAAAAAAACAACAGTTTTTTTGACGAATTGAACTCACCCCTTCAAAATCTGTAGGGAACAGGTTGTATCCTGCCGCCACCAATATTCCGGAGAGGATTAAAAATAACAGATGTCCGCCAAGCGTCAGAACTATTTTATGATAAGATGTTTGTCGGGGTTGGGGATGGGGAAATAGATCAATGGTAAATTGTTGCATTTAATAACATTAACCAATAGTAAAGTCTGGGAAGATTATATTAATTTATTCATTATTAATAAAAAATTAAAAGCTTCTAATTTTTCTCATGAAGATTAAATCTCTCTTCTGCAAAACGGACATAGGGGGCTAAGCTCAAATACGAATTCGATCGCTTTAAAAAAAAAACATAATGAAATAAATTAATATGTGTTATAGATATGTTGTTAAATTCTTCTCATCATCATATTATAACTTTTTGATGTAAGATCATATATGACAGGTGCAGAGAAAAAACTGAGAAAGTTTCTAAACTTACAAAATGCTAACTTATAGTGCTTCACCACGAACGAGCAGTACGCCAGCGGGGGTTTCCGGGGGTCGTAGCTGACAGGAGCGTCGTCAGCCGGCCCCGGGTGGTCATCCGTGTCAAGGTCGATGGGCTTCTCGGGTTTCTCATTCTCGTAGGCCGTGTTCTCGACTCCGACTTTCGTCATTGGAACACTGACGTCATAGACTTGGGACGAGCGGTGGCTGACGCCGTTCTGGGAATTCCCGCTTGGCATCTGAGTTGAGAACGGCGGGTTCCTGGAATTCAATTAATTGGAAGGATTTTTACCTCATTATTGATGTCGCTTATTTATTTTTATAATCTATTGTCTATGTGTTTTTTTTTGTTTGCTCTTGTTATCAGGACACTTTTAGGGGATGGAATGACCCTTACACAAGGGTCGCCTAAGAACATCGGAAAACACACATTTATGAAGTAGCGACAAAAATAATGTTTATGGTTGGGGAGTCACCACAACATGAGGAACTGTATTGATGGGTCGCGGCACTAGGAAGGTTGAGACCCACTGGGTTAGGTTGTTGTTTTCTTTGTTGTTTTCTTTGTTGTTGTTTTTTTATTTTATTTTTTTAGGGGGCGGGGGTGGATAAGTATTAATTTTTAAAATCTTTTTAAAAAATTCCAAACTTGATAACTTTTTTCTTAATGAGTTTTTTTTTTTTTTATTAAAGAAGTGCCTGAATTTTCTGTATTGTTTTAAATTTAACTTTATTTACAAATTAAATTTGGGAAATAGAAAAAAAATAATTAAATATTCAACAAAAATTGTCATTTTAAAAAATTCCAAACTTGATAACTTTTTTCTTAATGAGTTTTTTTTTTTTTTATTAAAGAAGTGGCTGAATTTTCTGTATTGTTATAAATTTAACCTTATTTACAAATTAAACTTGGGAAATAGAAAAAAAATAATTAAATACTCAACACAAATTGTCCACTTATTGTTGACCGCTTCATGGGAATTCTACTAAACATTAGTATGACTTTATTTCGTATCCATGTTGAGGTCATTGTATTTTATTTTGTTAAATGAATTATTAATTTTAATTTATTTGAACTGTTTAAATGTTCATTTTTCTTAATGTCTTATTTTGAAGTTGTTTACAAATTGATTAAAATGCTCGTCATTTATTTCTAAAAAATTTCTTTTAGCACTAAATAAACCATTTCCCTTTGTAAATACATTTCAGCGCTGAATTAACCATTTACATTTTTAAATATCCTATAGCAATAAATAAATAATTTACATTTTAAAATATCTTATATCACTTAATTAACCTTTTCTATGTCTTTTAGCACTAAATAAACCATTAACATTTTTTTTTAAAATCTCAGCACCGAACTCAAGTCACAAAATGTCACAAAATGTCACAAAATACTCTCTAATCCAATCTGTCAAGAAGCATCAGCAAGCTCAGAATTCCAAACGAGTTCTCTTCAGTTCCGGTGCTCTTTCACTTGAACTCACATGAACACCAACAAAACGACCACTTCCTGACCTCACTGTAAAACTCTCGTATCACAACTATTTAATCTTTCTTGGCAACTATTGATATAAATATTGAAGGGGGAAAGTAATGACGTACAAGGATATTTTTAGATTTCTTATCTCCGTGCCGCATAGCCCCCCCCCCCCTTTTTTTCACCCCCTTCCCCCCCCCGGCCCCTTTTTTCTCTTAAGCTAAAACTGCCGATAAGCCTAGAAGAAAAAAAGCATGCTCAAAATAATGAAGGGGGAAAGTAATAAGTTAAAAAGACTATTTTAAATTTCTTATCCCCGTCCGCCACAGCCCCCCCCCCCCTTTTTTTCACCCCCTTCCCCCCCCCGGCCCCTTTTTTCTCTTAAGCTAAAACTGCCGATAAGCCTAGAAGAAAAAAAGCATGCTCTCCGATTATGAATATTGTATTTATTTCCTTCCAAATATAGGCTTAAGTTAAGACCGCCCAACGCCACCCCCACCCGTCCCCTTAAAATAAATCCATTGGGTAATAGTTAAACTTGACTGTTCTAATGGAAATAGTTCAACTTGACTGATTTATTGGAAATAGTCAACCTGACTGATCTATTTGACAACGATACGTAAGTAGGTCAAGCTGGATCCGAACCTTCTATAGGCAGTCGAGATGGGGTGTTGCTTTTTGTATGGGCTCGTAAAAAAATTGTCACTGACTTTTGGAATTGCGGTTACTGCTGTCTTCATAAATATTCTGTCAAAATCATGTTGAGAATGTTTCCTTTGAGAAATTGGTCTCCTCAAAGAATTGAAAGTCGGGAAGTACTAACGCAAGCGAACAGGCTGCTGTCTATTCTAATTCCCAGTAGAGTAAGAGGCAAGCGAACATACTGCCTTCAATTTTAATGAACAGCAAAATGTGAGGCAAGCCAACATACTGCTGTCCGCTTCTAATTAATGTCGAAATGTCATCTTATTTTGAATAAATGTCATCTTTAAACTCGAGAACTACAACGATTTTGACTTAATGAAACGATAAATAGAAACACGATAAGGCTCGGTGCTCCTAACTCTCAGTTTTACCACGACAAAACTCTCACCTGTCAACATCATTGGCCTCAGGACCCAGGCCCTGGTGGGGGCTGTCGCTGCCTATGGAATATCTGAACTTAATGCCGCCGCTAGCCGTGGTGACGTCAGACTCCCCCGTCGCTCCTGCGAGCGTGTAGTTATCCTTCATGTCAGAGACCAGCTGAAAGAACCACATTTTTTAGCTTTGTGTGGCTGAAGTTTATTAGTGTTTATATCAATTTTTACCCTTCCCGGTTGGGAGAAAGGGAAAATTGACTTCAACATTATATAAAGAAACAGTTTTAACGTTTTAAATACAGGGTGACCAGAGGTCCTGGGCTTATCGGGACTGTCCACCTGAAGCAGAGCAGTCGCGTGATTTTTGTAGCCCCCCCCCCCTTGCCAATATTCGGTTTTGGGGGCCCCCTTCATTCAAACTGGATTGGTTATTTTGCGTTCGTTGCTACTAATACTTAAAATTTGAAACCATTTTTTTAAAAGTTTTTCTAAATTTAATTTATGTAATGGCTCACTCCAACACAAACACTGCGCATTTCTCGGCTCGCGAAAGCTTCCATAATTTTAGTGTTTCGATCTGAGCACTTGATTGGTGTGCGATGAGTATCATATACAGTCCACATAGCCTTTACTGAGCCGTGGTTGAGTGAAAAAAGGGGATTTTTAGCTTTAGAAAGTGACAGGCATTGAAATGTTGATTAGTAGGGTGACCATCACAGACGTAGTAGAAAAATATGAGTATGCGAGGAGGGGGGGGGACCAAATTAATTTTTGAAATCTATTTTCTATGAACTATGCTCTAAATCAAAGGCGTTACCCTTTTCTTTTTAGTTCCCGTTTTTTTTTTTTAATTAGCCCCTCCACCGCCCACTTCAAAACAAAAAAATAAAAAATAGCTTCCTTCTCTATGCACGGGAACCAAAAATGCCGCTCCTGAAAGGTGCCGCTCCTGAAAGGTGCCGCTCTGGCCAACGAACCCCTTTGTTCATGCGTGAGTGGGCCAGTAAATGTGTAAACGAGGGAGACAATACTAGGAATCATTCGACAGATGCGCCAACCAACTCCCCCCACACACACACAGACAACTCGACCTTTTCAACAAATGTACAACTTGTCATTCACATAACAATCGGCGATATATTTTAACGTTTATAGAGTGCCAACATAACACATTTTTAACGATTTAATGCAATTTAAAATAATTTCTTTAAATTTTTGTCACTGTCACAGCATTGGGACCCTCATCAATCGAGGCACCATCCACATCACAACTTTTGGCCCTTTAACCATCCGAGGCACCATCCACGTCACAACTTTTTTCTGATGTGTCTTGACATGAGCACACAAACACGACTGTGACAAAATGTGTCTGTACATGAGAACACAAACACGACTGTGACAAAATGTGTCTTGACATGAGAGCACAACCACGGCGGTGACAAAAATGTGTCTGTACATGAGAACACAAACACGACTGTGACAAAATGTGTCTTGACATGAGAGCACAACCACGGCGGTGACAAAAATGTGTCTGTACATGAGAACACAAACACGCACATCGATTGACACGTGATCACACTACAGACGAAAGACGGGAGCAATTACTGTATCACGACAGAGACGTCCATAACGAGGCGGTTGGTCTGGGCGACATCAAACGTGCAGACAGTAACACCGAAGGAGATACTCTTGAAATGAGTGGCCTTTAACTACCGCTGTCCGCACCCCCTAGTGACGCCACTGCAGTTATCTTTAGACTGACGTCACACCCTGCTTCGTTACTGGTATAATTGTGTTTCTTTTATCTTTTTTTTTATTTTGTTTGTGTTTTTTGTACCACAATCCAATCATTTTATTCAAATTCAAATTGTTGGAGATTTCCAACGATTCTGGCATTATAAGATGCTTGGTTATATTAGCAAACGATAGGTCTATAACAAGATATGGAACCATCTTTCAAAAGGAACAGTTGAGGCGACAACACTAGACACATTTGTGTCTATTGCCTCAAGCCTTCAAACCCCTAGTGTATAATTTCCTCATCACCACCAGTAACAGAAACATTGCAAATCCCATCTACATGCATAGGAGCCAAAATGATCAATAAATTGATCGTGGGCCCTTAAGATATAGAAGAAGAAGAAGAAGTCCTTAACATCACACGAGTTGAAAAACAAAAAAAAAGTTTTAATATAAAATTTGCTGGTGAAAATTTGATTAAGTAAACGTTAATTTGATTTCAAGACACCGAAAATGTACCCAAGCTGCTACTGGCTTAACTGGCCTTACCGCTTGTACGGGGAAGTAGAGAACCTCTCTGAGGTAGGTGGGCATGTTGGTGAGGAAAGTGTAGGTGCCCCAGTTGGCGCAGGTGTGAGTGACAACGATGGCCCAGACCTTCATGGACAGAAAGATCTTCAGCCACGGGGTTTTTACTTTTCTCTGTCAATCAAAAGGTTTACCGTAAATGTGGTCGTCAGATATGATATCAAAATGGGCTTTTTCAATGCAATGTCAAAACTAGCATTGAGATAAAATTTAAAAAATAACGAATCTAACAATTGTGTAGATTAGTTGTAAAACAACCTTAACTGATCCTATCGAGAAAAGTGTTGCGCATTGAAAAAAATAAATGGTTAATTTGCTTAATATTTAATCTGAACATATAGGCTACTTCATATGTCCATATCTTAGAGTTGGAAATACAATTGTCAGTTTAAAATAGCTCGTACAGAATAGCTTCATTTTTCGAGCTGAAATAAATGGTTAAAAAGAAGAACGCTTAAATATTAATAGTACAGACCTATTTTTTAGAAACATCGTAGGATCTTTAATGCGACTTTGATAGAATTTAAATAGGATCTAAATGCCTTCTTATTCACCCATCCTTTATGCATTTCACAATCACAAAACTACAGTATGATGTACAAAATGACTAAATCAGTGGAAATTAATGGCATGCCTAATGTTTCATTAAAAAAACTTGGGGATATTAAAACAATTTACAAATAAAACTTATATGCCATCCTAATATTTAGATTGAAAATATGGTTAGTCTAAAAACACGTCACTATGCTGTGCACTATTAAACTTCTACCCACAAAATCCTTAACATTAATTGTTTCCTGACCTCCATCGATGTCGTCATGTTGCCCTGGAGACTTTGAGTGATATATTTCTTCTCACGGTCCGACGTCCTGGGGTGCAGCTCAGGTGAGTCGTACACAACATACATCCACGCCACAAACCACACCACGCCGAGAGCACCTAACAAGGGGAGAGAGATCACAACAACAGTCATACGATTTTTAAAGTCACTGTCTTGTTGGCCAGAAAGTGAATAATCAGAAGTCTCCGTTCTCCATTTCACCCTCGCTTCAAGTCATGGCTTGCCACCCTTTCTTTGAGCAAATGTATGCCACCCCCACTTTATGTAATTCCATGCGCCTTTCCTGCAATTAATTCCTCTTACAATCTTAAGGAAATCTGCATTACGTTACACTTGGCTGACCTTGTTCTTATCAAGTTTGCCTAATGATATTTAATGAAAGCTTAAATAAATAAATAACGTTTAAATTTAAGTTATTTAAAACCAGCTTAAGCCTGCCAAACAATGACGGCCGCAATGCGGAACTTCATATCTGCTAAAGTTATATGACAAAACTTGCGTTCAAATTCAAGTGACGCACTCCGTAAAAATCCCAATTAGAACCCCCCCCCCACCCCAGGTTTGCAACCGCCCCTGACTTATATAAATATTCTATTGCCCCACCCACTTTTATACCGCAGTATTATACCATCATATTTAAATTCACAATTTTCCGTAATAAAAAACAAGAAGAAAATATTACGAACCAAATCCACTTGTGATATTTTAAGCATCTCATTTAGCACAGCTACAGGGAATTTTATTTAGTGAAATCAGCGCTATCTTGTAGCATTAGTGACATTGTTACATAGAGAATTATATATTTTGATGATGATTTATGAGTTTTGAAAATCCCACTTCGTGCCGAATCTTGTGAGATTGGTTAGAAAAGGCTTGGAGATGAAAAGACTTAGAGAGCTGTTAAGAGGTGACTCCAAGAACTCAATGAAACAATGCCCTCCCTTTAAATGGCTCGTTTATTGAAAATAATTGATAGCTTGTTTGGTTTCACTCAAATTTCAACAAAATCTCCGCCCTTGAAACATATGCAAACCCAAGCTTATTAATAATTGTGTATTTTGAAGTCTTTGTGTCAGAAAAAGAATAGTTAATGAGCAATATTACCGTTAAATGAATTAAGCGATAGTGTTGAAGGTGTATCCACCATACGGTCTAGGCCAGGGGTGTTTTAACATTTTTGTTCTACATACCAGACTAATGGAAGTAACGGAACACTTCTTTTAAAATAAAGTTTATAAATGCATGTTACGCACTGACTTGTATTGGGAGCAATTAATCGCCTATTATAAATTTATGGCTCGTTCTAACAGTGCCTAACAAAGGACGATACCATATAGAAATACAATAACACAAGTACGGCACTCAAAACAGTAACAATTACAATTAATACGATTTAATTCAGTATTAATACAATAATAAACAAAAGAAATATAATTACAAATCATCAACTTACAGACTATGGTATAACTGGTACCGGTACACAATTAGTACAATGTGCCAACGAATGAAGAATGAGAATAAACACATATAAGCACACACAGAATAATACACGTCTCGCAACGTTAATAAAACCTATCTGAATCTCCGTCGAATCTCTCCCTCTCTCTCTCTCTCTCTCTCTCTCTCTCTCTCTCTCTCTCTCTCTCTCTCTCTCTCTCTCTCTCTCTCTCTCTCTCTCTCTCTGTGCCTGTCAATCCTTTATATATGTGGGTCTACCGATGCGTCTAGAAAACGCCTTTACTTTTCTTGCACAAATCGAGATCATTCTACAAAATACTAGGAGACAGTCTAACATGTTTAATTGGTAAACACGGCTGTAAGCAAGATACATCAAACGAATAGGCCACGCCCACAACAAACGCTAACGTCTGCTAGGGATCTAATTTGGATCAAGCAAAATTCAAGCACCGGGAATGTATGCTACATATCAATGCATATTATTATTGATTTGCAAAAGACATGAAGCTCACTGAAACGAAGGTCTCTAAGAACCCTGCTCTACGCAACCACGAGGTAAAAAGATGTACAAAAGCAGAATTTGCCGTGTGTGGATTTGGTTCAAACTCCGAGCCATGCTTAGATGGCTCTCTAAATTTCTTTTACTTGACGGGCGTATAGTGTGCTGGTTTTTTTTTTTTTTTGGTTTTTTTTTTTTTGGTAATGGAGCTGGACCAACTGTCCACCCAAGTCAAGACGTCATGGAGCGGGACCAACTGTCCACCCAAGTCAAGACTCATTATTTTTTTTTTTTTTTTTGGTTTTTTTTTTTTTGGTAATGGAGCTGGACCAACTGTCCACCCAAGTCAAGACGTCATGGAGCTGGACCAACTGTCCACCCAAGTCAAGACTCATTTGCGACTGGTCACACCCAATGTCGTAAAAGGGTCCCAGACACTTTCCAGGTTAGTGAAATTTGGTGAGACACTATAGTTAACTCCCACCTTCACACCCACCACCCACCTCGCACGACGCCTGTTTATTCTAGAGCTCCGCTTATGTAATGTTAATTATATCCGACACTGCCACGGAATCGTCTGCCTACTCGCAAAACCCCGTGGGTGATCCACGCGACGGTCGGGCATGATGGAAATACCAAACATTTGCTTTATGGGCTCTATCAGATGACACAAATCTCACTGAAACTGAGATCTGTCGGGATGATTTCAAAGACAATCCAAGATAAACATTACGAAATTATTTAAAATCATTTTTTTTTTTAAATATCACATGAGTCGAATTGTTGAAAACATATTCTATAAAACTCCTATAACGAATAATAACAACGAAAGACAAAGTCGATAACATTTCTTCTTTCACAAACCAAAGTCTATATTTAGGCCGAGGGTCATGACCTTAGAGAGACAGTAGCCATTTTTTATGATGCGGTGACGGGTTTCCAGTGCAATAAAAGGACAACTGATTTCCATCACAAGCGCGAATCATCCGGCGAGATGGCAACACATCAAATCTAATTTGATTGAAACCAGTTCGTCAACGGAAGGCTTTCGTTCAATCTTTCATGTCTATTACGTAAATAAATTGCGTCTGTAATGTTTTAGCTGAAGTCTAGACTCTTTATGGCAAGAAACAAATCTAGACGCCGAAACCAGAAACTAGGTTTGACAACTCTTCATTCGAATAGAATTCTCGTGTATCGGTCTATAGAGCAGGGGTTCTTATCCTTTTGAACAGCACTGCAGCATCCCTCTTTATTTCAAAACAATTACCTAACCTTTTCTTGATTTCAAAATATTTACCGTATGTTTTCTCGATTTCAAAACATGTGTCCAGCCCGTTTTTTTTTTTCTCACGCTAAGAAAATGCAAATAAAACTTATTATCAGGATCATCCGAACCCCTTGACACTGGTTAAGAACCCTGTCATAGAGGCTATTCTCGCACCATGTTTGTGAAGCTAAAAACCCCAGTCCCTTCAAGGGACACTTAGCGAGTTTTCTCAGATTGAGGCCATTCGGGGGAAAAGGGAATAGGGGGATTTAATCAACTGCTAAATCCGCTTGTTTGTAACTTCAAAAGGATTTAAATAGCACTGTGTACATGTTTGTGATTGGACACTGATATTATACGCTTTAAAGTGTGTACATCGCTTTAGTTTAATGAAATGTGTACATCTCTTTAGTTTAATGAAATGTGTACATCGCTTTAATTTAATGAAATTTGTATATCGCTTTAGTTTAACAAAATATGTACATAGTTTTAGTTTAATAAAATGTGTACATCGCTTTAGTTTAATAAAATGTGTACATCGCTTTAGTTTAATAAAATGTGTACATAGTTTTAGTTTAATGAAAATATGTGCATCACTTTAGTTTAATAAAATGTGTACATAGTTTTAGTTTAATGAAAATGTGTAGATAGCTTTAGTTTAATAAAATGTGTACATAGTTTTAGTTTAATGAAAATGTGTACATCGCTTTAGTTTAATATAATATGTACATAGTTTTAGTTCAATGAAATGTGTACATCGCTTGCTTTATTTTAATGAAATGTGTACATCGCTTTAGTTTAATGAAATGTGTAGATAGCTTTAGTTTAATAGAATGTGTAAATCGCTTAATTTAATAAAATGTGTAGATCACTTTAGTTTAATAAAATGTGTACATCGCTTTATTTTAATAAAATGTGTACTTAAATTCGATTCTCAAGCAGTCAAACTCTTTTTTTTTTAAAACAGCAAGAGCCACCCGGCATGTAGCTACCTCATGGGAAGCATTTGATCAATACTATTCTCTGATGTCGCAGACTTCCTCCATGACATTGATAACTCATGTTTAAACTTTATGCCTTCACAATGAAAACCATGATTGAAGTTAATAATTTACACTAAAGCAGATATATATATAGTTCTTATTCTTTTTTATCTATGTTAGCGAAGTGAAGTGGTTAAATCTGATTTTCAACGATTTTTAATAATCCTAATTGGAAGAAGTATTTGTCTTGAAAACACGAGCCTTTTACAATATCCATCGTGTTCTTTTGGGGAGGGGTGGTTGTTTGTTTTGTTTTTTTGTTATCGAAATGAGACAAAGCACGCTCATATACTAGTCTTATTTGCCTTTGAAACAACGATGGTGGCGCGTCCTGGTTGCAGTTGCGTAGCTATGGTTAATGCCCCCCTCCAGGACGGCCAAAATTTTTGCCGCCCTCCTTCCACACGAAAAAAACCCCTCTGCACTTGGCCGAAAATGCCGCCCCTTTTTTCGCGCTAGGCTGACCACCCCTTCTTCCTACATTATTAACCTTTCTTTCTACCAGATGCATACCGTAACACGATTTAAACTGACAAAAGATTTGTTGGGTTTGTTTGGTCGTATTCAGCAGAAAAGATGGCGCTTGTTGTCAACATTTCTTCCTGCTGATCACCTGTCCACATTAAAATCTTAAATCAGGTTAAATAAAGATCTGGATATATCAACTTAACGAAAATGGCTTCCATTCAGCACGCATATCCCTTCACTTGAATAAATTATATGATAGGACTAACACTGAGAAATAACAAGGCGCATATACATAAATATATTCTCTTTATATATATTTATATAGATATATATGTGTATGTGTGTGTGTTTGTGTGTGTGTTTATGTGTGTGTGTGTGTGTGTGCGTGTGTATGTGTGTGTGTCATGTTAGAAACACGATAGTGAAGTAGGTCACCATGTACAGCTCAGTTGGCATTCCAACAATACCGACATATTCGGGACATGCATAATTAAGTTGATATGAGAAGCTTTTAATTGAGAACAGAGCTAAGATTTTGTTAAGTCGTGACTTTGTATAACGGTTACAGTAAGCTCCGGGCTCAGTTTTAAATCAATTACGTTGTGCTTATAAACTCCATTGCTCTTAAGAAATTTTCATCGTGAAATTTAGTTTTTCTGAAAAAGTTAAAAATGTTGAGGCCCAAAATATTTAAAAGGTTTTAAAATGTAATCATATTTTTTTGTATCAAACTGACCATCTCTTAACTTTGCTTTACTGTCTGCTCTTTAAATTACCGTGAAAAAAAATCTCTCAATATCTAGAGTCTTAAGTACAGCGTCCCCATCTGGACAAACTTATTTTTTTAAGGGGATGGGGTGGGGGGAGTTTGAAAGACAAAATGAGATTCATTTGCATACACTTGAGCACGTGATTGGCTCTCTTCAGCTGTGCGATGGACCAATCACAAGCCTTGTTCGTGAGTGCACCCAGACCGAATCTGAAGGAAGAGTTTATTTGCTATCAAATATACTTAGCGGAACAAGTGGTTCGCATTCTGGGGGGCTAACAAAATGTTTAACAGGACTGTCAATATGTGACAGGATTCGCTCACAGCAAAGATATGTCAATATGTGTTAGGATTAGCTCACCACAAAGATATTCAAGACGTGACAGGATATATGATGACATTTTTGTAAACATTCGAGAAGTAAACAGAAGCGAAAACTTCGGACTTGACAATGAGCAACTTACGGTGCTCTTTCTGAGACTTCTTTTTATATTTTTTTTTCTTCGCATTTTAATAACGTAATGTTGTTAAATCATGAATCTCAGTCACATGTATACCGCGATGAACAACAGACTGGGAAGAGGATAAGGGGAGGTCAGTACTTTACTATGTTGCAATTTCATAAAATAGTTTTTTTTTAGACGAATAAAGATAGAAAAAATATATTTAAATTGGTCACCTGTTGCTAAATTTTTAATGGATCAAGAAAATGGATCAGTCAGTTTGGAGGAGGAAGCGCGTGGGGGGGGGGGAGGGGGGGGCAAACCCTGAGGGGAATTGGGGGGAGATGGGTGAGAGGCTGGCTAGGGTAAGACGTGAAAAATTACTCAAATTCATCGATAGTGTCTGTATTTAAGGGTGTA